TCCCAAACTTGTTGTGCCCAAGGCAGAGATGTTCACAAGTCTTTTTTTGCAAGTCCAAGTCAAGTCTCAAGTCTTTGGTCACGAGTCCAAGTCAAGTCTCAAGTCTTTGTGGGGTGAGACTTGAATCAAGTCTCAAGTCTTTGGTCACGAGTCCAAGTCAAGTCTCAAGTCTCTAAAAAATAAAAGTCTCATGTCTCTTCTGGTTGTAATAAGCCTTCTATTGTCTGCTGCTATCCAGTCTGTTAAGAATACTGCACAGCTATATCTAAGACATTCAAAGCATTTACTGTATTATTATCACTCCTATATCTATTAGCATACAGTAGCAGTACTGATTAGTTGTTTGTTATATGATCACTTTAAACAGGCTATTGCAATGCAATATGAGGAAAAACATCACACTTTAGCTAAATGCAAACAACTTATAAGCAAAACACTTCAGAATCAGAAATCAGTATCACAAATACTTTATTAATCCCCCGCAGGGAAACTGTGTTAAAAGTACTTCAAAGTAAACATTTGTTCTGTGCCATTGTAACTAAAAACTATTGCTTGCAATATTATCTGAAATATACTGAACTGGTGATATTAAAACATGACCTGTTCCAAAAGAGATATCTACCATTAACACCATTTACCAGCCAAATGCTGGTAAATCATGCAAGTGGCTGGTACTGTATGTTGCCACGCACCAGCCACAAATAACAATGGCAATCTATTGAGTGGCTGGTAACATTTCAACATTCACTAGGCTAGCCATTTGGCCAGTGGACAAAAATGTTAAAATTGACCTCTGCAACCGTATTGTTTAAATACACTGGGTCTCTAATTACATCTTTTAAGTCTACTATAAATAAACATATTCCTCTATCCTCTCACTCAAACCCAGTGTAATGGTAACCTGATAAACCTGTAACATTAACGTTACGTGGTCAACAATAAACCTGTAACCTGCCTATAAACCGACAGATGTATTTATGTATGTAACTATGTATTTTCTACGTTTAACGTTAGCCAGTAGATGGTGGCAGCGGAACGTAATGATTAACGTTACCGACCTTTTTTTATGTCATGTCAAGAGTTGGATGTCAACGCCACTCAACGCAAACAAGTGTGACAAGGAAACATTCACTCATCTTTTCAAATATTCAGTTACAAAGCTAGTAGCAAGCTAAGTTAACATTACATAGCTGATGCTGAGCTAAACATGTTTGCTAACCGTCCATATGCGTTAATGTGACTGACCTCTCCGGGTGAGTTTTCAAGTGCCTGATGAAATTTGACGTTGTTGCACCAGCATCCTTGATTTTAATATTGCAGACTTTGCAGTGTGTGCTCCTTTTGTTGGTGCCGCCGGCGTTTTGTTCGAAGTTTTTATAGTTGAACCTAATTACAAGCGGTACAGCTGCAGGTGTGCCGCCGGTCGCCATGGTGTTACCATGATGTTAATGTTAATGTTAAAGGTGGGGTAGGTAAGTTTGAGAAACCGGCTCGAGATACACTTTTTGCTATATTCCATGGAATGCTCTTAACATCCCGATAGCCGGCCCGGCTAAAGTAACTGGATAGCCTACCTGCCTGTCAGCCTTCCATCGGGGCACAAACGTATCTCGTGCCCTCATTGGTCATGTGCGCGTTTGTGTGTGTTGGAGGAGGGGCTCTGTGAAGAAGTGGCAGATTTTCTCCGGTTGTGTATTTTCAAATTCTAGCGATCTCGAGCTGGTTTCTCAAACTTACCTACCTCACCTTTAATACGCCAAAAATAGAAAACACAATGATTGTTCACGAGTCCCAAAACACGAGTCCAAGTCGAGTCCGAAGTCTTTTGAGCAGGAGTCCAAGTCAAGTCTGAAGTCTTTGTGTGTGCGACTTAAGTGCGACTCGAGTCCGAGTCACAGACTCGAGTCCCCATCTCTGGCCCAAGGCACACCAAAGGACAAGTAAAAATCTCAAGGCACACCTATTGTGCAAAAATAGCCCTTATAACACGTGTTATCACTCATATCATGTAAAATATCTGTAAATGTGCATAATTATTTACTAATGCCAAATAAAATGTGACAAAGACAACTATATTACTCATGAAATATTTATTAACGAAATATTCAGAAATTAATTTGAAACGTTATCAAATTAGGCTTCATCAAAGCAGCAACACTCATTTAAACCAGACAGTTCACAAAATAAAAAATGAGGCAAAGGAAACTCAGCAGAAATTCAGCACAGAGAACTGTCAATGCAAGGAAGCTGCAATGTCCATGGTCCTGAACTACAAATTATAAATGTAACATTTCAGCAATCAGCATTGAAACATGTGCTATTGTAAATATTTTTGCCGACTTACAAATTAGTGAGATACATGTGCCTGTTGGGGCGCGCAGAATTTTGTAATCCTTGGTTGCACTGAGGAGAGGGCCACTCGCAAGTCCTGTTCAACAGAGAGCCGTGACCTCCTGTTGTTCTTCATGTAAATCAGAGTAGAGAACGCCAACTCCAGAGATGGGGTCGTTACTAAACATTTTTAATATATTACATATTTAAAAAAAGTAATATATTACACTACTTCGTTACTATCTACATCAAGTAACTCGTTACTTTACTCGCCGAGCACGTACGAACTGCGCATGCGTGAGTGGCAATAACTCTCCTTACCAGCAGGCGGCGGTAGTGTGTATTTGTCATTCAAAACAGGCAACAACCGGAAGACAGAGAAGAAGAACAGACTGCGTGATATAAACAAACAACAAATAGCGTGTGCGGTAGCTTCACCTTAGCATGTGTTCTTTGCAGGTGTTTGTTGAGGTTTGACGTGGTGTTTCCAGCAGTGGATAACAGCTTCTGGCCTGGACACAGTTTGCACCTCACCGTCACATTCCTGTATATTCTTTGGACGAACTCAAAATAATGGGCATACCTCCACCCCTGGAAAGTTATCGCTGACTCAGCCATGTTTATGCAGCACTGCACGTGGAGATGTGGACGCGCAAGTCGCGCAGATTACGTACATATAAACCTACAAAGTACTGATATAGTAAATAAAAAAATAATTATTTTTGTGTAGTTGTATATTGCAATAATAACGTATGGTTGTCACAAAATCCCACGGCACACCCGGACTTGCCTCACGGCACACCAGTGTACCGCGGAACACCGTTTGGGAACCACTGCCCTAGAGAACCGCAGTGACGCATCCTAAAATCCGGAAGTAAACTCCTTCCGGTTCCTTTGTCAAAAACCAATGCAATTTCTCCATAGGATTTTGGAAAATAGCTCAAAGTAAGGTCTGTGGTTGACACACATTTAAGAGACGGATCACGTTTTGTTCAGCTGGATAATATCCACATGCGGATAGGCATGTGGCATACTTTTATAATTTTCTAATCATAAATCTAGTCGACAGAAGCAAAATGCTAACGTTATGCTATGAACGAACTACAGCAGGGTCGCTGCTTCAATGTCACGCAACTTAAGATCCATATTCAAAACTACAGATTCAAAATTGTTCAAGTTGAAGCGTTTGTTTTAACAGTTTGCAAGAGCGCAGGTACTTGCTTTCAAGCAGAACCGGGCAAACAAACGTAGCGGGAGTGTTTACGTGTTCGGTGTAAGGACGTACAACGGCCTCGACAACTTCTGTAGTCCTATTCAGCCACTTGTTCACAACCATCGTTTTTCAGACACGTAAACTCTTCAAAGATCTGATGTATGTAATGTCGTAGAACAAAACGTGATCTGTCTCTTTAATTTGTGTCAAACACAGACCTTATTTCGAGCTATTTTCCAAAATCCTATGATAAATTGCATTGCTTTTTGTCGAATGAACCGGAAGTGGTAAAAATGCTAACTTACTTCCGGGTTTTAGGACTGTGGTTCTCTATAGCTCTTAAAACTAATTTCCTTGCCTCTAGTCCTCTCTCTTCTCCTAGTTTCTTTGCATCTCTCCATGCATCCCTGGTGGGAGGGACTAAGACGCAGGGAAAAGACGCAAGTAAGGGACGAAGGGATGCAAGTTTTGGGAAGTGCGACGCAGCTATAGTCCCTATAGTGAACCCGTTTCTAAGTTTTATGTTAGAAATGTATAGTGCGGATCCCCAGCACATAAAAACTGCAGGATACTAACTTGCATATGTTGGGCAATTTGCACAATTATCGTAAAATTCGTTAATTAGCACAAGTTTAGTTAATTAGCAAGAATTACCAATAGGAGACAATAGTTCAACAATTGCTTTTCTGATTTTGACAATGTTAATTTTTTATTTTGGGGTTTCTGAGGTTGCCGAGTTGATTGGGACTACAAATATGGCCACTTTCTAGTCAAATTGTTGTTAGAGTTTATTGAAGGATAAAAGTGTTTTCATAAACTGTGTTTTCATAATGTATTCTCATTGCTGTGTTACAAGGAGTGTTAATGGAGGAACAAAGAAGAGTCTGTTTAAAATGGCACACATACACACACACACAGATTCACATGACTGACAGTCACAAGATCCACACTAACAAATAAGGCGTGTTATCTATCCCAGTTATCTTTGTTCACTGGGTTCTGGTTATTGAACCGAGCTGGGGTTTACCCTTACAAAGTAATATAGAAATACCCCACAATTGTATATCCTGAAAATGTCAGAAATGGACTCGGCATCCTCAATTACCTCCACAATCACTGTAACATTTTCCAAATCGGCCAAGTCATTTTTTCATTATTGTTTACATAGGCCATAATGCCATTCATTTAAATTAACACAACTTATGCTAATTGTGAAAATTGCCCAACATATGCAAGTTAGCATCCGGCAGTTTCTATGTGCTGGGGACCCGCACTAGACATTTCGAACATAACACTTTGGGGTACAACATTTCGAGTTAGCTTTCAACTAGACTAAAATGTAGATTTGTTTAATTAAACTTGGTGGGATGTCTATAACAGAATTAAAATCACTCCTGGAGCTTGGAATAGCCTGCTCCTTGATGGTCCTGTAATACTTGTGTCTCATTATATCCAGTTACTGTCGCTCGGGCATGAGGGAACATGGTGGCTGCAGTGACTCCAGCAGCGACATGGATGAGGAGTTTCCGGTGTTTGACTTCCTGCAGTCGGGTCGACACCCCCACCCAGCTTCCCAGAGCAGCACAGATAACACACACTCAGGCAATGTGGGCACATATTCAGGAGCGGCTGATGTAATGATGATCAGCAGCGATTCTGATGACGATGCACCTTATGTCCCTTTGGCACAGAGACTCAAACAAAGACAGGAAAGTGTGATTAGTGCCTCCTCGTCTGTCACTAATGGGAAAGATGCTGAACACTATTCGCCATCCAAACTGGGTGATCTACAGCTCTCTCGACAGAATGGCTTGTCAGAGTCAGAGCAGCCGCTCAGCTTCCATCAGGTGAGAACAGTGAGCCCAGATGAGGCTGCAGTTTTCCCTCAGCAAGGGCTGCCACCCGCCGACACCAAGAAGAATGCTGCCAAGCAGACGTTGGAGATCCAGAGCTCCAGGAAAGAGGTTCTGATGAAGAAGCAAAACAGGGAGGGCCATCAGAGGGCCAAGGAGGGGCACCGGCAGGAACAGGAGAGGCAGAGAGCCGAGAGGAAAGCTCTGGCTGAGGCTGCCAAGGCTCTGAGGCCGGAGGAGTGCATCAAGCACATGGTGGTGGCTGTCGACCCAGGTACAGAGAAACAATCAGCACAGTGCCTAAGTGGATCAATCAGCTCGTGCTTAAGAATTATTAAAGGTCATTTTGTGCTGAGAAGCATTCACAACATACACTATATAGACAAAAGTATTAGGCCACCTACACATAGCATTATCTCTCCTCCACCAAACGTTACAGTTGCACAATAGTCAGGCAGGTAACATTCTCCTGGCATTCGCCAAACTCAGACTCGTCCATCAGACTGCCAGATAGAGAAGCGTGATTGGTCATTCCACAGAACACGTTTCCACTGCTCCAGAGTCCAGTGGCGGCGTGCTTTACACCCCTCCATCCGACGCTTGGCATTGTGCTTGGTGATGTAAGGCTCGATGCAGCTACTCGGCCATGAAAACCATGAAGCTCCTACAGTTTTGGTGTTTATATCAATGCCAGACCTGGAACTGTGCATTTATTGAGTCAGCACAGCTTTGGCCACTTTTACATGGTCTGACATTTCGTGGCTGAGTTGCTGAGGTTCCTAAACATTTCCACTTTGCAATAATACCACTTAAAGTTGATCGCAGAATATTTAGGAGATAAGACATTTCAAGAACTGACTGGTTGCAACGGTGGCATTCTATTACAGTACCACGTTCAAATTCAGTGCGCCCTTTAGAACGACCCATTCTTTCATAAATGTTTGTAAAGGCAGACTGCATGGCTAGGTGCTTGATTTTATACAAATGTTATTTTAATTTATTTTAATCGTTTATTTCGGAGGGACAATGCACTGTAATAAACACTTCAAACATTAAAATGTGTCATAACAGTGCCAGATTTAGCTTTCAGCTAATTTCCATCCACAGTCCCTCACAAAAAAACATTTAAGAAATTTACATTTTACAAAGAAAATACATGTTATACAAAAGGTGCAAGAGAGCAAGAGCAGCATACACAAGTATGTATGACATGGTAATACAATATAGCAGCAACGACATGTAAAGTGCAAGAGGAGATACCCCTGTATTAAAGTGCATTTATTTAGTGATTGCACGTCTGTTTGTTTCTCAACCATTCTTTGAGTTGACCTTTGAAACTATTGAGAGTAGGACAATCCCGTATCTCAGTTGGGAGACTATTCCACAAAGAGCTGCCCTTAATTGAAAGTACATTTTGTCTAAAAGTGGTCCGTCTACGGTGGACCTCGCAGTCTCCTCGGGTTTCTGACCTAGTGCAGCGTCCAGTGTGTTTTTTGTGGATGAATTCCCCCAAGGGGGGGGGGGGGCAGTCCATGTAAACATTTATAAATAAAACACAAAAATACTTAAAATTGTCAAAACTCAAGAAATTATATTTCTCAAGGATGGTACAGTGGTGGTATGAATACGGCTTTCTGTCAAACACCTGGATAGCTCTCTTGTACAGCTGTTCTATGGGTTTCAGGTTTGTGGCACAAGCAAACGACCAGTTTGTAAAACAGTATTCAATGTGGGATAGAATCATGCAGTGGAGGTATGACTTTGCAGCATTGACAGTTAAGAAAGCTCTAATTTGTTTAACATTTTGCAAGTTGAATTTAATAGTATTGGATGCTTTCTTAATATGTTTCTTAAAAGTCAAGTTCGAGTCCATTATGACTCCAAGATACTTGAACTGGGAGACTAGTTATATTTCTGCTCCGTTTAAAAACACATTAGATCCTTTGATTTTTACTGGTCGTTTACTGAACATCATGCATACTGTTTGTTTTACATTTAACTGGAAGCAAATGTTGTTCAGCCAGTGTTGAACCTTGTCCAAAGCATTTGAGAGACAGGATGAGATTATTTCAGTCTTTTTCCCCTGTACAAAGATGACCGCATCATTGGCATACATTTTCACATTCAACTCAGGACATACATTAGGCAAGTCATTAATGTACAGTGAAAACAGTAATGGTCCAAGAATGGAACCTTTTGGAACCCCAACAAGGTAGGGCAATTTGGCACCGCTGACCTAAACACACTGTTTTCTGTTCGATAAGTAAGACTTTAACCAATGTATTAAATCTGCCGAAAAATTGAAATGAGCTCTGTAAGGAGCTCATTTAACAGTGTCAAAAGCCTTCCTGAGATCAAGGAAGACAGCACCTACATATGGGCTTGTGTCCAACATACATTTAATCTTTTCCACAAAGACACAGTTGGCTGTCTCAGTGGAGTGGTGAGCACGAAAGCCAAACTGCATTGGGTGGAGTCGAGCGAAACCTTTATCTAAATGTTTGGTGATTAGTTTTGACACCCATTTCTCAGCTATCTTAGAGACACAGGGGAGGATGCTGATAGGTCTGTCATTGGACATCATTGCCTTATCCCCAGATTAAAAAATCGGTGTCACCGTGGCCACTTTCCAGGACCACTTTACTACTAGCATAGTAATTGGTTTTATTAGACTGTCGATATGTGTCTTTATAAAATTGGTGTCGAAATCATATGCATCCCTAGCCTTAGAACAGGGGTGTCAAATTAAATTTCATTGCGGGCCACATTTGCATAAAGGTTGCACTCAAAGGGCCGGTTATAAATATATAATATATATATAAAATAATGTATTATATTACATTATTGCCTCTGAATTGGATTATTATCGGATAGGATAATAACTTAGTAATTAACTACGTATGAAAGCAGAAGTCTAGAGCAAATAATTGCAAGTCTCTTCAGTGCGCATGTCACAAAACGAGATGCATTGTGGGATATGTAGTTTATGGGCAACCTGCTTCTGTAAAGTGGCATGTAACCGTATAATAAACATATTATATTCTTTGCAAGCTCTTGCAGGGCCACATAAAATGAAGTCGCGGGCCGGATTTGGCCCCCGGGCCTTGAGTTTGAGACCCCTGCCTTAGAACCTCTTAACCCTAAGATTATATTTTGTACCTCAACGCCTGTGATTTCCTCCAGGTCAAAAATGGGGTGTGTATCCACACTCAGGCTAGGTGAGACCTCAGATGGCGAGAAGAGCTTTGTAATGTCCAGAGCACTATTTATGAAATACTCATTGAGTGAGCTGGCCAATACAGCAGGGTCTTTTAACAGGGCATCATTGATTTTTTATTCTAGAGCATTATTTTCCTGTTTCTTATGTTTACCAAATAATTAATTTAAGATTTGCCAAACCTTTTCACCGTTACCTTTCGCACCTTCAATGATATTGATGAAAAAGTTAACTTTGGCCTGTCTTATTGTTTGTGTTACCTTGTCACGAGCATGAGTGCATTTCTGTCTATCAGTGGATAGTCCGGATTTCAAGCTCTGCTTTAATAGTTGGTCTCTGGATTTCATTAAATTCCTGCATTGTAGATTCAGCTAGGGAACATGATGTTCCGTCCTGTCCCTAAGGCACCTTCTTCTTGAAAAGGAAGACATTGCATCGTTAATTTTAGATATAAACCAATTACTGTTTTCACCAATGTCTTCAGAGGAGAGAGTGTCCCCCCCAATTAAGTTTCACTGCCTCCATAAAACGTTGTTGCAGGTTTTTGGGGATGAAGCGAGAACCGAAGGCAGGAGTTTTAGCTGTGGCCATGAACCTTCTTTTTGTGAGTTTCCTGGCAAAAAGAACAAGATTATGGTCAGAAAGACCAGTCAGTAGGTTTGAACTATTCTGTCAGCTTTGTTAGTAAATACTAAATCTATCATAGTCTTGGAGGTTTTGGTTATTCTAGTGGGTTGATCCATTAGTTGTATTAAGTTGTGTTTATCCATAATCCGTTTTAAGCTCTTTCTATTTTGTTTATCATTCCAGTTGATGTTAAAGTCTCCTACAATAATTAGCTCTTTGTTGGAGTCACAGGAATTCAGCATGAGTTTTACCTGGTCATATAAATCCACCTTAGCAGTGGGTTGTCGATACAGGCAAATCATGGTGAGGGACATTTCCTCAGATAGTTTGATTTCCACACCAACACAATCAAACTCAATATTAGCTGGGAGTGCAATCTCCCTACAGGTAATGGTATTCCTCACATAAAGCAACACACCCCCTCCTTTTCCCTTCAGTCTGTCCTTCCTAAACACATTATATCCTGACATAGATACAAGATGCAGTGGGACTGAATGAGACACCTGCATGAAACACCTGAATTCAACGATTAAGAGGAATGTCCCAATACATATTGTCTATATAGTGTATGTTCTTCATCAGTAAAAATTCTGCTGTTTTTTGATGTCCCTCTTTTTCCATCGGTGAAACTCTGTTCGAACGTCAAAATATTCATAACTTTCATAATTCCAAATATTTTAACAATAATTCATTATCATTTTATCATAGAGATCTTCACCTTTTTATGACACAACTAAGCCAGCATTGCTGTTTAGTGTCATCTTTTCAGCATTCATATACTTGTATGCATTGCAGCCATGATTTGAGCAATGTGAGGGTTTGTTGAGGACATGCTTCAGTGTTTCTGTTTGCAGCTCTCTTACAGCTGGAAGGAGGCGGGACTCTGCTGGCGGCGCTGCAGGATCTGGGCTGTAACTGCGCCATCGAGAAACAAGGCATCCCACGCAGTGTGAGCTGGATGAGGAGGGCCCCCTGTGCACAGGTGGTACACACGCACACACACACACACACACACACACACACACACACACACACACACAAACTCAATAATTCTATTGAAGGGTGAATATTACAGGCATGCCTCTCAACTAAACGCCTCATTCTAATGAAAAGGAAAGTCAGAAAGCCCATGCTTCGACTTAAATAAATGGCTGAAGGAACATGTAAAGTATGGAAGAAGCTGCCTCCTTCCTATCAGATTTTTTATATGGTAGATAATAGACTATGGGTCACGATAAGGTCAATCCTGGATCTGGGCCACTCCCCTTTGTAAAAAAATCGAAGTATATCTATGTTATGGCGTATATCATGTACTCATACAAGACCTTTTGCATGAAGAAAATACAATTGACACTGTAACCCCCCACCCCCTATGTTATTCTTCTGTTTGTTTTTTTATGTGTGCAAGCATTGTCCTTGTATTTTATTATTGTATTTCCTGTTATGCATGTCTTTGTAAATTACATAATAAAGAAAAGGGAAAAAAAACGTGCAAGGTGAAAAATGTCTTGTGACACCCTGTATGTGTCCAGCCAGAGGATGCAGAGTGTGTACGAGAGGCACTTGTTGTGATGCAGATGACTGTTGATGACTTCATCACTCTGACCCACAGCTACATTCAGGTCAGCTGCTACTTTACACTTGAACAATTACATTAACAGAGTGATAGACCCCTTTGCTTAATGAGACCAGATGCAACTGTAATAAACCTTATGGGGGAATATCAAACATTCTAATAACGTGTGTGTGTGTGTGTGTGTGTGTGTGTGTGTGTGTGTGTGTGTGTGTGTGTGTGTGTGTGTGTGTGTGTGTGTGTGTGTGTGTGTGTGTGTGTGTGTGTGTGTGTGTGTGTGTGTGTGTGTGTGTGTGTGTGTGTGTGTGTGTGTGTGTGTGTGTGTGTGTGTGTGTGTGTGTGTGTGTGTGTGTGTGTGTGTGTGTGTGTGTGTGTGTGTGTGTGTGTGTGTGTGTGTGTGTGTGTGTGTGTGTGTGTGTGTGTGTGTGTGTGTGTGTGTGTGTGTGTGTGTGTGTGTGTGTGTGTGTGTGTGTGTCCGGCGCAGCGGCCATGGTGCAGGCTCCGGTCCCACGCTGAGCTCCTGGGTGCAGCAGCATCAGACACGTCACCCTGCTAAGACCCTCAGCCTGGTGGTCCTCGACCTGGAGAAATACTTCAGGTAGTTGCACACAGTGTCAGCAGAAAATAATAAAAACTGCCCAACATGATTTCCCAGAGCCCGGCCCGTCCACACACAGGCATGAAAAAAATCTTGAAAAATCTTGATGCTGGGCGTGTCTGAAGCTTGGCGATTTTTTGCGACCAACAACCAATCATATGAATCTCCCGCCCCGACATACAAAGCAATAGCAATGTTAAAACGAAGTAAACTGGATATAAACTCCCCAAACAGGCGAAAACCTACCAGTTTCACCCACTGTCTCTGCCACCTCCCTCCATGCCTGGTTCCTCCGGTTTGTATCCCGGTAAATAGTTCTGGTCGGAAAGAACCGGGTGATTTGCTACCGTAATTTCTCGTTTGGAATATGAGGAAATGAACTGCGGTCTGGCTCTCCCAGCTTGCACGCGGTTTGATTGGCTAGCGCTTGTACTCGCGGGATTTGCATAAACGGGATTTGATTGGCTGATGCCAGCTTCGAAAGCATCGGGAGCATCAAAAGTTGAACATTGCTCAACATTTGATGCTCACGATGCTTGCAAAGCCATGCTCCGCTCCCCACCTCCGCAATTTCCATAGACCCCCATGTTAAAATGCCCAATTTTACAGCAGAAAAAAACATGTTTCTACCCCTGGCTCCATACATTTGATTATCGATATAGTTAGATTCCACCTTCATAATTATGGATCTGTGAGTGAATTGTTTTCTAACACGACCCTTTTATTTATATTAGGTCTTAAAGTTTGTGCGTAAATTAGGGCGTGGTCACATTGAGTGACGGCTCTGTCAAGTGACTGCTGCTGCTAGCTTCTTGTCTCTGCTACCTGCTCCGTTAAGCTAGCTACAGGGACTCTGCCTGCTCAGCTCATCCAGGAAACACAACTTGTAGCCGGCCGTGGTTGTTTGTTCTTCATGCTTATATATCGGACTATTGTGACTCGCTCTGCGGTTAAAACAGACGGTGCATGAATGCGGTTTTGTGGTAAGTGAAATTCGAGTGCTTTATTTTTTGTTAATGATTTCAATCAGCTACGTAATGAATGTTAAGGCTTGGGTTAACATGTAAGCGAGTGGTAGCTACATCGGTGCTAACAATGCTAATCGTAGCCTCCAAGTTAAAATCATAGACTGTATATATAAAGGTTAAAACGAAATAGACAAGTGTTAAGCGTTAAGTTGGATAATACTGTTGAACAAACGGCTTCTGTTTGAGGTTGATAAAATAAGGTTACATCCTTGTAACTTAGAGAGATATTTTATTATGTAGGTAGGAACTGTATGCATCGCTAAGGTTAATTTAAATTGGCTATGCTCAAGTATGTAGGCAAGCTAATGTCGAAGTAGTGTATGTGAAACCAACCTCACAATAAGATGTGTGTATATTACAATTATTAATGTCATATTTCAAGATGATTACTTAGATATTACAATATGGTTGGTTGAGCTGGAGTTCATTATTGAGCTTACACGTTAACGTCACAGTCATCTGAAGAACGAACCCAAACCTTGTTGTTTTTATTAATTGCATTACCAAATGGGTATCAAATAAACAATAAGCATTGGTAACACAACTTCCAAAGTTACAGTAAAATAAAAAGGACCCTGACTCGGACAATACACAATCCAATATGTTCAACAGAAGAGAATAAGTTATATTGTTTGTACACATGGTACTTTACATTATATATCTGTTTGTTTAAAGTGTCCAGGTGATGCAGACAGGCTGGACCAGAGAGTGAGAGACAGAACTGGACTCCTCACAGCAGTGAACTTCAGCACAGGTACAAAGACTCTTTTTTTCATACTGTACAAAGAATCAAGAAAGATATTGGTTAAATAAATGAAGTATTGACTTGAATACACTGATATACATTCCATTAAACAATACTAAATACTAGATCACCTACACATCAGTTAAGTTGAGGGTTTTTTTCCATGCAAAAAGTTACATTTAGATGTTAACAAGCACTATGACTTTGTCAGCTTTCTAATTTAATGTATTGAAGGCAAAGATATTTAACACATAGTGAGAACTGCTACAATTTATCTCTCAATATTGTCTGTAAAAAACGTGGTAAAAGTTATCCTTTCATTGAGACAACAGAGCAAGCTTCTACAGTTGCACTACGTTTTGATAACAGTTAAATATATATATAACATATATTTCAATGTTGATGAACTTCATACTGTTCATTCATAATCTAATTGTCTTTGTAGCTCACTGTTGAAATAAAAAAAAAACATTACAATTACAAAATAATTATATCTACAGCCCCTAAACACACAAACACACCGCTTTCATAAATAACACAGTTGTTCTGCAAAAAATGTTTTATGTTTCCTGTCTTTTTTGTTAGGAAAGGACATGCCTGAAAGACAGGACATGTTCTCCTTCTCTGAGGGTCAAGAAGAACATCCAAGAGGAACATTAAAAGCTGATGTTATGAGATTTTAAGACCAGTACAGGACATTCACTAAGAAACTACTTTTATTGTAAAAACAGTCAGCTGATCGAATGCACCTATTTCCACATCTACACTCCATCAGCTGATTATTTCTATTTGCCTCGCTTTATGAGCTTCACATCGCTTGTGCCTTGTACTGCAGAGTTTGCAACGTCACACATAAATGGGGCCAATCTTCAGTCAGATGTGAATGTGTAATCTAACATTTTCAGTAAGAATAATGGACAAAAGGAGTGCAAATACAATTTATTGAAATGTGAACCAAAAGTTAATCAAATGTTTTAAATAAAAAGCACATATGGACAGAAGGTGTAAACCTATTAAATGTATAAGTAAACACATTTAGTCAAATAAAGTGACAGACTAGGCCTGTGCAGTTGGTATCAGCTTTGCCCAGCATGGGCTCCTCCATCAGGCCTGGTCCTCCTCAAAGAGGAAAGACCCTCAGTCCTCTCCAAACCAACAGACAGGACGTCCATCACACGGAGGTTTCTCCCTGAAGTCTCTGCTGCTCTCTGGACACCAGACTGTCTCAATCCCTCCACACTGAATATGAGAGGGGGAAAATGAAAATAATAAATGCTTTAGACAATAAGAAACATAAAGTTGACTGTTGAGTTGCTCAGTTTTTTTAGATTGTCAATACTATTACTGTATAACTAATATATCAGGTTAAGAGGCACATTCAAATAAAGATTGGTCTTTAAATACATTTTGTCTTTTGAATTGTTTGTCTAAAGTCAAGGATCTAGAACTGGTACTTAGATTTAATGATACAGTCTGGTTATTATGCTGTTTGGAGGAGGCCTCACAGGTAAGAGCACTAACTAGCTACCATCACATGTACCTTACTGTAGCTTGACTTAAATGTATTAAACGTATAATTAAGTGATATCAAAATATAAATAACTAATGTCATGCAAACATATTAATATTTGCTTGATTCCAGTGTTGAATTTAGCACAATTGCATACAAACGTTAAGGGATTTTAAGATTCTGAAGTATTATGTTAAAAACTCAATAACTTAGATTATTATTTATAGTTTTGCTGAATAGTTTCATGTCCGCTTACCTTAGAAACGTAAAATGCCACGGCAGTGTGCAGATGGGGAACATGGTAGCTTAGCTTGGTAGCTTCAGCTAGCTCTGGAACTTCCAGCTCGGTGGCAGGAGGTCCCGCCTCGGCTCCGCCTCTTTGCCCTTATTTGGAGGAGGCGGGAGTTGAACTCTGACGTCACTGTCGAGCCGTTAGTGGCCGACTCCGCCTACTAAGGGCTTCTCGGCAACTCTGCAGAATCCTATGGGTGACGTCACGGACTCTACGTCCATTTATATATACAGTCTATGGCAGCGATACTCAACCCGCGGCTCGCGAGCCCCATGCGGCTCCTTTAAGACTAGTTGCGGCTCTTTTAAGTCCCACTTAAAAAATCTTTAAAAAACGAAAAACAAAAACATTGTCAGCAGAATTCATCAACATTTCATTATCACTCACAAGTCACACATCAGTCTATTAAGCCGCCCCTCCCCATCCCTCTGAACAACCAATCACAAATTATTTCAGGTTTCGCGCTCTGATTGCAGGTGCGCGAGATAATTGCTCCGTCACACTGGGAAAACTAGCTTACAGCACTATGCAAAAATGGCAAAGGAATATAGGAAACGAAAATATGAAGAGGAATATCGAACATTTAAAGAGGACTGGGAACTCGAGTTTTTCTTCGTCTCCGCCGGTTCGGGAAAATGCATCTGCCTGCTTTGTGACAACGTCATTTCAAACCGGAGAGACGTGATGTAAGAATTACATATTTATTGTTTACACGTCATATGAATGAAATGATTGCCATGATAATACAACAGCAGAATGTAATGGTGTTTGGCGATTAGGCCCCGGTTTGCAGGATAATCATTCAGGAGGGAAAGCACCGCTCCGATGAAATCCCCGGGGTCTAGACACTGGTGGTGGTGATGAGTAGGTGAGACCGGTCTGAAGGAGGAAGGTTTAGCTTTGTCCTGAAGGAGACAGGAGGCGAGAGGGGTGGAGGCGGGTTGCGTGTGATCATCTGCAATGACAACTGACAGGGAGGAAGAGCAGGCATTTAAGGCATTTAGCATGTGCAGCGATTGGCTGCTGAGGGGTGACGCCCTCGTATTTAATGAGGGGGGAAGGGAGCCATAGAGTGACGTGTGAGTGACTCGAGTTAGGTCTTCCTTATTGAACTTGCGCTAAAGCTTTCATTTCAAACCGGAGAGACGTGATGTAAGAATTACATATTTATTGTTTACACGTCATATGAATGAAATGATTGCCATGATAATACAACAGCAGAATGTAATGGTGTTTGGCGATTAGGCCCCGGTTTGCAGGATAATCATTCAGGAGGGAAAGCACCGCTCCGATGAAATCCCCAAAACCAGTGAAGTATGAATACTGAGATGAACTGAGTTGCTTACCTTGTGGGGTGACTGGTGATCTGGGAAGGAGAGATAATAGATTAACACGTATATGAGCGACACTGTGCCGGAATCACTG